TCATAGACTTCAATGCTGTAAATATAATTATGTTTACTGCATATACTCCTTTTAAACAGTTTCCTCCCTCATCTGTTCCAATATAGTAAACTTTTACAGTAAAAACGAAAATACCAAACAATACATATGTAAGCTAGTAACATAAGGCCTTATTATGACTCTCAAGACATGTATTTTAGGTTATATACATACCATTATACACCTGGCAGCTGGAGCACTCTGTACACAAGGGATAGGTTGTGTTCACTATGTTACACTCACTGATCAGGATTTCTGAAGTCTGTTGTTAACTTTTTGGATTACAGAAATATGCACACACGTTTTGCCCAATTAGATGTTATGCAGCACATGATCGTACTAAAATACTATTTTCTTCTTGCTTACCAAGCACTTATTTAATTCTCACAGTTATTTCCCATTGCTAATATAAGGAAACTGATGCACAAAGTCACACAAATATTAAATGACCCAACATGGACGCAAACTAGGCAAGTCTGGCATCAAACTCTGAACTATAGGATATAAGGCACCAAGTTGGAAGAAAAACAGTATTTTATATGACAATTATTTTTGTAGCATTTTCACATTTATATGTTAAATACACTGGAAGCTAATAAGTTCTTACACTGTAACACTTTTGTAACAATGCAACTCAGATATTTTATATGAACAAATATAGACTAGAATAACAGAATGCATTAGGTATAAATTAAAATGTTGTTGTGTATACTGTAAGTCAGAACCAACTCATAGCTGAACCTTCAGCAGGTTTTCAGAAGCAGTTAATGGCACAGGAGGAGACTGCCTATCCTTCTTTCGTGAACAGCTGGTGACGTCGAACTGTATACCTTCAGTATTGCAGCACAGCTTCTTGCTATTAGGTCACCAGAGCTCCCTAGTCATTTAAATTCAAGCGCAATAAACAGCAGGAATACTTGATGTGGGTCAAAATTAATCTGAGTGTTTACTATGTATTAGGTTCTGAACTAGGCACATTATTTTGTGAGCTAAATACTTTTACCTTGGCAATGAAGAAACACTAAATTCATTAAAAAAATTAATCCCAAATCATATAATTTGTAAAAGGTATAATAAGGATTAGAATTCATATTCTGACTCCAAAGCTTCCTTTCATTAAAATGTATATGGAATGGTTAACAGTATAGTTAGGAATAAGAATCAGTGAAAAATGGAGAGAAAAAAAGAACATTCTGAATATTTGTTCATATAAGTCTAAAAACAGTCCCATTTCAAATTGTTTTCGAAATGCTAACCTACTCTAAAAGCGTATTAATATCCTTATAGACTCAAGTTTATATTTGGTACTAGGCCCACCAAGTTTATCGGAAAATGGAAATATTTAAGCTGAGAGGAAATTTAAGGATAATGATAATGAAATTTATTTTCAAATTACTGAAGAGCTAATTAATGGAATAATAGGCAAGAGATTAGTGTTCAAGGAAAGAGCTTTTGAATAAAAAAAAAGATGTCTAAACTAGAATAAAGTGACTATCTCATGAGACAATGGATTACAGTTCTGATAGCCAAATGTTAGTGATTCTACAGAGAGGCTCATAGACAAGGTAGGAAAAACAGCATTAGTTTTTTATTCTAAATAGAACAATTTGTGGTTATATATTATAGTACATTGGAGTTTCATTTTACTTTTTTAGTACTTTTTTTGCATGGGGAGGGCAATGGGTTCTGATGCTGTAAAAGTCAAGACCAAAACTATCATACAGATATGTTTAAGAAGTTCTTTAAATTCAAGTAAACACTTTTGAACAAAACAAATTAAGCATACCATTTTTTTCTGCAAAGGCAACTGCATCTTCTTTAGTGCTGAAGGTTAGAACCAAGTTGGACAAAGGATCCGCCCTGTAAGAAATAATATTTTTCAGGATTTAGTAATAAGTTTTGGTTTAAAGAAAACAAAATATTACTATAATAGAAGCAGACTACTGATGAGCCATCATATTTTTAGTAATCTCTTTAAAACAGTTAATAGTTTGAATATATTTATCTATGTTTTGGTAGTTGTATAAAATATATTGATAAATAATGAAAATTATACTTGCAAGAACACATGGAAATTTGTAATCTTTAATAAAACAACTTCGTTTTTTGAGATTTTAACCAGCTCAAAGCTAACCCTTCAGCTGGTTTTCAGAGGCAGTAAATTACACAGGGAGATTGGTGGTAGATCCAAATCATGTGCCGTTGGGTTGGCAACACAGCGCCCTACCACTAAGACAATGTAACTTCCCAAAACAATTTTATTCAACTCTAAAAAAATTAGATTCTTTCCAAAAGTACATTAAAGTTTGGTATCAAGAAGTTACAACTGAGTACAAATGCCAGTAGTATCCTTACTCAAATACAATTAACAACAACAGGCAGTCTTCTTAATGAATCCTTAATTAAGGATTTTATTCTTTTAACCATTACCACAAGCTCACCAGTTACCTGGGTCAACTGAGCACAGTGCCAAATTAAAAAAAATATTGCCTCAACATCTGTCATTCTGTTAAATTCTCAATCTAGAATAGTAGTAACATTTTCAAATTTGCCCATAGACTTTTCACAAAGTACTAAGCAATTTCTGAAATGGCATTAACACTGTTATTGTTATGCTGTCGAGTTGCTTGTGATTCATAGCGACCCTATGTACAACAACTCTGAACACTGCCCTATCTTGCACCAGCCTTATTGTTTCTGACACACCTACCTTCATTCACTGAATCAATCCATCTCATCTGGAGTCTTCCTCTCTTGTGCTGTAAGTAAAATACAGCTAAACATTCTAGTAATTTATGCTGTAGCCAAATCTGACAACAGCAATAATACTCCTTGTTCCATGTACTCTTCTGAATTAGACTTGAATAGAAAAAATTTCTTGATGACAAACTGCTATTGGGTTTTTTCACCCTCATTTTTAAGCATTATTTTACTTGCAAATGATCTTGTGTGCTAACTTTTCATATTTTACTGGACCATCTTTCTTTGAATTGGACACAAATATGATTTCAAGTCATTTGGGCAGGTTATTTGCAAATTTCTATATATGTCCAGTATTGTCTCTGTTCACTGCAAGATCTCAACTGAGAACCTGTCGATTCCTAGAACTTTGGGGTTTGTCAATGCTTTAAATGAAATTTAGGCCTCCTCTTTCAATATATGATCCACAATCAACCCCTTGGCGCAAGCAGTTAGGAGATAAGGAGATGTATTTTGGCAAGCCTGCTGTCAGGGATTGCTCCAAAATATTGAAGAGAATGAATGATGTTAGTTTGAAGACTAAGGTGTTCTTAATTCAGGTTTAGTCTTTGCAATCACTTGCTCTGAATCTAAGAGCTGGATAATGAATATGGATGACAGGGGGAAAAAAATGATACCTCTTGAGTTTTGTTGGAGGAAGTGTACTGAATTCCCCATGAACTACCAGAAGAACAAACAGGTATGTCTTGGGAAAAATGCAGCCAGTATGCTCACTGAACACAAAGATGACAAAGCTTCGTCTCTCATACTTTGGGCTTGTTGCCAGAAAAGATCACCCCTTGGAAAGGAATATCAAATTGGAAAGTGGGAGAGTCAGTATGCTTAATGAATCAAGAAAACAAACAGATTCACCCTGGAGAGGATTAAACCAAGCAACTCCTTGGAGGCAAGGATTCTGGGGCTTCGTCTGACATAATTTGGACATGATGTCAGGAGGTACGGGTTCTTGGAGAAGGACATCATGCTTGGGAGGGTGGAGGGACAGCACAGGAGGGGAAGACCCTCTATGAGATGGATTGATTCGGTGAATGGCGTAATCGGGATGGGTGTGTTAGAGGCAGTGCGATTGGCACAGGATAGAGCATGGTTTAGGGCTGTTGTGCACAGGGTCGCTATGAGTCGCAAATGACTCGACGGCACCTAACAACAACAACAACAATGAATCAAGCACATTTATCTTAAAATTTTACTGTATCTTAACAAAAGTGGGTTTTCAAAGTAACAAAAAAATATCATAGATACAAACTTAATAATGGTATTTATTCAGTAAAAACTGAAGCATTATCCACATCTCACCTCATACAGAAAAATCAACTCATGGTATATCAAAGACCTAGGGGTAAAGTCCATACCACAAGGATCATAAGAGACAAAATGGGACCAAACTTAGAAGCCTTGGTCTATGGCATAAATAGGCTTGCAAATGTAGCCAGAAATGTAAAACCAGGAGAGGATAAAATTGATGAGTAGGATTTTCTAAAAAATCAAGTGTCTGTGTGCATTAAAATCTTTTTCTAATAGAGTGAAAAGAAAGCACAGAAATTAGGGGGTGAGGAGGGACATATGGCAATGACATCTCAGACAAATGTTTCTTTTTTAAAAAAAATTCTTTATTCTAAAAAACATGTATGGGGATACAATGGGGTGAGGGTTGGGAGCAGAAGAGTGAGGGTGAGCAGGGATAAAATCACAGGGCTGCACAATTTGGTGGGTTGGGGGGAGTAGGAGAAGAAAATGAGAAATATCCAGTGGGGACCAGAAAAGACAGGGTAATGTTAAGTATAGTCTAACGGTGAATATTTTTTTTTAACAAATTGTTTTATTCACTTGTGGGTTTCTCATTTGGAAATGGGGTGCAGACTCTCTGGCTTCTTCATGCTGAATAGGGACATTGATTTGAAGGAGGTACGGGAGCCCATTTTAACATTTTACTGGTGGTACTGGATTGAAGCTGCATGCCTTTTTGTTTTGTTAGAAGATATTTTCCTGAAGGGAGGGGGTAGAAGTGGATGGATATCCTGTGGGATGATGAAGCAGGAAATAAGTGCGTAAAGGGGCATGTGAGAAAGGCAGGGACAACACTGACACTAAAGTTAACTCCGCAATAAGGGATATACCTTTAACTTGCTGGTCTGTCTAATACTTCTCTAAATCTGAAC